TGCTGAGGGCTCCAATGCAATTCAAGTACTTCCCTGCTAATTAGCACAACCTTGAAGGAAGTAGAAGAGATATCTACTGGCCAGCTTCACAGAAGAGGAAGTGAGTTCTCTGGCTTTCTGAGAGTCCCACGGTGGGTTAGGGAAGCCACCACTGCCAACACCTGACCTGGCTCCTCCCCTCTTACCCACAGCCTTCCCCAGAAGAAGGCCGTTCCTCGGCCTAATATAATAACAGTGCCCGCTGCTGAGCTGGACGCGGTGTCCAGCTCTGGCATTCTCTGCAGCTCCCATTCTCACAACTACCCCTGAGGGGCTGTCCCCCAACAATGTGAGGCTCAGAGAGGTTGACTTGTTTAAGGCAGCACAGCTATTAAGAGGTGGAAGTGGGATTCGAACCTGTCTGCTCTATTGGCCCCAAAGCGCTTTGGATCAAAGCACATAGAAGAGGGGCAGTCGTCCACCCTCCCAGGACCAGCGCCTCCTAAGCCCACGGTGCAGGAGGAAAGAAAGCTACCTCATGGCCACGTTGCTGCCGTCGATCACGATGGGTCTCAGAGAGCTGGCCGGGCCTCCGCAGTCCTCTTTCCCGGCTGCCCCCAAGGCCCGCCGGGCAGACTCCTGGACTCCGCAGGAGCCCCGGGGAACAAGCAGCGGGGCAGCGCTGGTGGCCTGGCCCTCCTGGGTCTGGGGGCGGCTGCCGGTCCGGATCAACTCCTGCAGGATGTCGTTGACCAGGGCGCCCTCACCCAGCTTGCCCAGCACCCGGACCACGTCCTCTCTGCTGTAGCCCAGCTTCTGGAAAAACTCCATCTTGCGTGAGGGCTCCATGCTGTGCCCGCCAGGCGCCTGGCTTGCTCCTCGAAGAGCCCCACAGGCATGAGCTAAAGGCAAAAGGCAGCCATCAGTGTTTCCTGGCGGGGCGAGGGCAGGTGCGCAAAGCGCCCTTCCTCTTGGGCCTCATCTGTCAGGAAACCAGGTTGAGTCTGTCCGGGGGTGGGGGTGAAGGGGGGAGGGATTTTCAGTTGTTCCGTGTGGTCAGAGAGCTGCAGAGTTGCAACCGCGCTGTTTTTACTAGTGCGCTCCCTTAGGTTTTCGCCCCACACCACGCCCCAGCGCCCCCTACCCAGGACACCCTCCTGATGTCGGGGCAGGGATTGAGCCCAGCCAGATCTATCCATGCCCGCATGGGGGCGCTGCCTCTGGTCCCAGCTACTTGGAGGCTGAGGCAGGAGGTTGGGGACACACAGAGTTGCTGCCTTAAAAAAATTAAAAATAAATAAATAAATAAAGAGAAGAAAAGAACACATTTAAGTAGTTTCTAATAATGTATTAATAGACGGATATAAGCCACAGAAAGCTCTTTGGGGGCCTCAGTAATATTTAAGAGCATAAACAGGTTGTGAAACCACTTTCTTCTTATAGCCAGAGTTGTTCCAGCAGGTGTTCCCCCCCACGCAAATGGTTCCACCCTGGGGCCTGCAGACATGCCCAGTCCCCGGGGCCCTGCACTGAAGCCCAGTGCCTTTCCCTCCCCACTCGGGCCCCTCTCCAGCTGTCTCCCACTGCTCACCTGCTCCTCCCAGGCCTCCCTCTGCCTGCTTCCTCCTGTGTCTCCCAGGGGTCTCCTTCCTGGAGCCCGTGTGGCTCCTGGTTGCCTGCGGGCCAGAACAAGTCTGCCCACACCACCCGTTACTTAGGGAGAGCCTCAGACCCCCTGTTGAGTACCCAAAAGCTCCAATGTTCTAGACCAGGCTGACAAGCTGCGTCATGATGCAGAACCCCACAGCGCACCTTGCTGCCCACCACTGTCCTTTCTGAGCCATGCCGATCTCTCCCTAGTTCACGAGCTTCCAGAAGATTCTCATCATTGTGCTTCTACAGGTGCTTTCCTCTCTACCTGGAGTGCTCCTGAGGGCTTAGCAAACTTCAAATTTTAGCTCTCAAATGCCAAATCAGAGCGGGCATCCCTGCCTATGCAGACAGGAGTAACCTGTCATCTCACTGCCCTCACCACACATGAAGCTGTCTTCTTTTTTTTTTTTAAACTTGCCACAGGGTGCATATGCTCACTAAGGAGAGAAAGAGGGGGGAAAAAATGAGAAAGAACCTCCCAGGCACGATCGCCTTACCTCAATCCCTTCTCTATTCTCCTCTCAGAGTTTTGGGCATGCACATGTAAGTGCCAGATGTTTTTAAAGCCTCTAGGTCTGGAACTCAAACCAAGCAGTCAGCCATGTGAGATTCAGTTGCCTTAACTACCATGCCAACCGGTTGCCCCGCCATTTATCCAGCTCTTCAGAGACTACTAATCACTCACTGGTATCCTCAGTAGTAGTCTGGCCTATTCGCATCAGAATCCCAGCATTCAGCATGGTGCCTGGTACATCCGAGGAGTTTAATAGATTTTTTCTTCAGCGAATGTCCAGAGCTAATATTTTGTCCTGTGTTCCCAATCTCACTGAATGGCCTCCCCTAGAGGTCCAAAGAGGAAATCAGAGTCACCTTTGACTTTTTTTTTCCCTCGCTTCCAGACGTTTTCCATAACGAGCCTCCTTTTACACTCACACCACCACCCTGGCTCAGTCATTCCCTCTGGATCAACGTTTGCGGATCACCTACTTGGCACCAGCACCCTGCAGGATCCCAGTTCTCCAAAACCAAATAATAAATGACCTAGTTTCAACTCATTCACCATCGATTTGGGAAAAATGACCAAAAAAAGGAAACCATGAATCATAGACCATGATCATACTTTGAATTAGAAAAATGTGCTTTCAGTGGCAGGTGGCATGGTGTTTAAGAGACTAGCCAGATCCCACATGGCTGATGGTGTATGCATTTTAAGTTTGAACCTCATGGCTTAAAAAACACATCAGATGTGTCTGTGTGTATGAGCATACCCAAAATCCCAAGAGAGGAATAAAAGGGGATTGTGAAATGCCCATCCTTAGGGAGTGATTTCTCACTTTCCCTCTCTCTGTCTCTCTCCAGTGAGCGCAGGTGTCTTGTAGCAGAACTAAAAATGGGGTCAGCAGGTGGCATGGTGGTTGAGGTGCTGGACTCCCACATGGCCAACTGTGGTTCGAGTCCCAGACTTGCTTTCTCACTCCCCCCCCTCCACTTCCTCTCTACCTCTCTCTCTCTGGTGAATGCTTGTGCCCTATAGCAAGATTTAATTTAAATACTTCTTTTTAAAAAAAGAAAAAAATAAAGAGAAATATGCTTTTGCTATACAGATGAGAAATGACTTTTTCCTCTGAGAGACAAAGAAAGACCAGAGAGGCCTTTACAGAGCTGGGCAAGGAGGGCAGAGCTGGCTTTTCCAAACCGAAGAAGGCTGCACTGTGGCTCCATGGGCTCTGAGGGATCCCTCGGACAGGCCCAGTATCCATGCTCCATACTCCACCTGCCACTCCCATCACGTTAGCCCCCACCCCCATCCCACACAGAGTAATGCCAGACTCCTCAGCACGAGAAACAAGACCCTTCACTGACAGGCCTGACCCACCTTCAATCTCTTGGCCATGGTCCTCCTCTCCAGGCACACCTTCTCTCTACCCGGTGACCAAGATGTCTCAGGACAATTGTCTCTGGCTTGGGCTTCAGCTTTGGTCCCAACTCGCTCATTCCAGCAGCTCACCCTCACCCCAGGATCACTCCTGACCCCAGAAGGCATTAATGCAGCTGTTCCTGAGTGAAGCACATACCCTCCACCACGCCAGCCTTGCTGTCACACCCCCAGGAAGCCATTCCTCTCCTGATAGCCACCACACTGCACGTCCACCCCTCCATGGTGCTTAGTTCAGTTTGGGGAAAAAAAAAAAAAAACAGAGAGAAGGGTAGAGAGAGGCTGGTAAGAGGAAGAGGATGGAAACTAAAGAGAGAGAAGGGGGCAGAAGACAGAAACCGATAGCTGCAGGAGGGTCTGTACTTGTGTATCCTTCCCCGTTCTCATGCACAGACCCTTATCTGACCTGTTATCCCTGGTGGGTGGATACAAGCACTCATGTTGGCAGGTGAGGACCTTGAGGCTAGGGTACACGGCATGGAGGTTACACCATGAGCGAGCGCGGGGAGAGATAGATGCCCTGTAAGTGTGGAGAACATCTATGCTCTGAGTTGTGTTCAGGATGGAGGGACATTGCAGAAATGGGAAATTCAGATTACAGCTGGGACAGGCAACTTCTCTTCAGTCATAGAAGAACAGCTATAAGGAGGGTTCTGGTTTCTTTTGCAACTTTGCATTCTGGTGTGACATAAATGTGAACATTCCATGATGAAATGGCATGGATCTCCTGCCGTGACCAGTGTAGCCTTCATTCAATGTTGCAGCTCTTCCAGAGGCCCTCGGGGTGCAACCCAGAGCACTTTCTCAATGGGGACATTCTAAGTTATGCTGGGATGAGAGAGCTGTTTTCACAAAAATGGACAGAAAGAATCACCCCCTTTGGAGATGTTTTCCCCCTCGAGACTTTAAAATTCACTTCCTTTCCTTTCAAAACTCAACAAGGAGGAGCAGGGTGGGATGCTATTTGGAGGAGCCACCGGACCTCGGAATCACTGCCTCACCTGCAGGTATGATGCTCCTTGAGCAGCAACACCACCAGCTACTGCTTTTCCTTCCTATTTTTAAGACCTAAAAGTCTGAGCAACTTGATTTGGGTTTTCTTCCTCAGCTTTGACTGGAAGTCACAAACGCAGAAGATGAACAGCACTTGGAGAACCTCATGAGCTCTGACCAGTCAGTGTCGCAATAGTTTCCTCAGTTAGTAATCAAGGTGGCTGTGGGGATGTGGGGTCCGGGAATCCAGTGCTTCAGGGGGCCTAACCAAACAGGAGGGAGAGGAGGAGGGGAGGGACGTCCCTAGTGGACACGGGGCTCAGATCAGATCTGTTTCTTCCAGAGTCAGCCAATCTAGGTGAGGGCCCAGACCAAAAGTCAGTGACCTCTGCCTGGTAGAGCCTTGAGAAAAAGGATGAGGGAGAAACTGAAAGAAGAGAAAAGGAGAAGGTTCTAGAGAGCCGAGAGTTGGTGGTGCAGCATCTCACGGTTACAAAGGGCTCCCTTGCGTATTCCCGCCCCTGGAGGGGGAGGTGCTACCTCACCGCTCATGCTGCGGATGAGGAAACTGAGGAACAGAGGCTTTGGTGACTTACCCGGGCTCCCACAGCTAGCAAGTGGGAGAGGCCAGGCTCCCCAGGGCCATGATTCCCACTGCTGTTCAGGCTGAGGGCACTTGGTGCGAGGCCCATTCACGTCATTAGCATTTGCTGGCCACCACCAGGTGCCACAAAGCAGGGCACGCCATGTGCCAGCCTCAAAATGAGCATGTTCAGCCCTTGGCTCTGCCCCCTAAGGGTGTTTCCAGCCAGATCCACAGAAGTCCAGGACATCCCGGCTGCCGGATGAAGCCATCATGATGAGACAATCATCCCGCCCCAACTTCTCAACTTCCCAGAAGGTTTCGGGCTCAGCTCAGCTCTGGAGGCCCTCAGCAGAGCTGTTGGATTTTGAGGAAGTCTCAGAGAGGCAAAGGCTTCACCCCAGGGCATTTGTGTTTTTTTTTTTTTTTGCCTGCCCCTTCCCTTCAAGAAAATTCGTCATATATTTTAAAATTGTGGCAAAATATGCAGAACACACCATTGGCAGTGTTAAGTGCACAGTTCAGCAACATTAAGTACATTCACATGTTGTGCAAACATCGCCAACTTCCCTTGCCATATCAGTGGATTCTCTGTCCCCATTAAACACTAGCTCTCCATCGCCTTCCCCCTCCATAGGTGAATACTCTTCTACCTCTGTCTCTCTGCATTTGATGACTCTAGACGCCTTGGTGAGCGGAACCACATGGTGCTTGTCCTTTTGTCACTGACTTATTTCATTTAGCACAATGTCCTCAAGGCTCATCTATGTTGTAGCACATGTTGAAATTTCCTTCCTTTTTAATGCTGACAAGCATTGAATCCACAGACCACGTAGTGTCTACCCATTCATCCAGCAATGGACACTCAGCAGTTTCTGCCCATGGGTGTTGGGAACAACGGTAGGCTGTAGACAGTGGACAAGCCTGGCCTTCTGTTTTCTTCTCAGACTTACCCTCTGCTTCTCTGTGCTGCAGTGGGTGACCTAGGGGCATATGTGTAAGTACCTACAGCCCTGACCTCCGTCCTGGGGTAACTCTATTGAACTCCACACTCAGCCTACTGGTATGTCAGGCATTGGCCCTCCAGGGTTGGTGTCCCTTGGTCTTGGAGTGGAGCTCATAACCTTGGCAGCACAGCTGAGGTTGCCAGGGAATTAGCCAAAATTGCCCTTGCGGCAGTCAGATTGTGTCTTAGTTCAGTTTTGTCACTGGCCTTCTCAGAGCCCACAAAACCATGCTCTACCGAAATGCTGCCAAAAGTTTCTGATCTGTGTTCACCCAGGAAACTAGACACTCCCAAATCAATGTCTAGTCCGGGAGATGCTTTTATGAGCATGGAGACAGGGTCACAAGGTACCTGAAGGGCCGGCCATATAGTGATGCAGTGGTAAAACATTCCACTCTCTCTGCGAGGCTGACTCACAAGGGAAGGTTGTTGGTTCAAGGCCAGAGACCTCCCCAAATATGCAATTTGCACACCTGCTCACAATCTAGTGTAGCTGAGGCTCAGGGTGGATCATGGTTTTGAAACTCTGTCCAAGGACACTGCTATTCTTGTTCTCTCTCCGCTTCTGTCTCTCTCGCTCATGGAAGAAATAAATAAATTCCAAAAAAGAAAAAAAAAAAAGTGTCTTCTGGACCAGCCAGATGGCATGGTGGTTAAAATGCTGGATCCCACCTAGCTGACTACAAAGTTCAGGTCCTGGACCAGTGACTTGAAAAACACACCAGGTGTGTGTGTATGCATGTCCAAAATCCTGACAGGAGAATGAAGGAGAAAGGATTGTGGAGTGCCCATTCCCCCAGGGGTGCTTTCTCACTTTTTCTGTCTCTTTCGGGGGAGTACACATGCTCTATAACTAATATTTTTAAGTGCCTCCTTCTGATTTCAAACATTAAAATATCTTCAAAGGCCTCAACAGTAGATTTTATTAAAATGAAGAGTTTACTCTTACCTCCACAAAAGCCATCTGGAAGTTGAACACTGTCTTTGCTAAAATGAGCAAAGATTTCTCCTACAGGAAATTAAAGATGCTTACCTTATTATTGTATTTGACCACTTAAAGTAATGAAGGTGCAAGATCTAGGATCATTCAGGGCAAGCTGCACCCAAGGACTCCATTCCTCTGCCCTTCTCCTGCCCACAGGGACTGAACCCGTGGTGTCTGCCACATGGCTGCTGGCCAGGGGATGGACGCTCACCAGCAGGCTGTGTCCCTGTCTTCACAATGGATACTGGTCCAGCTGACTGTGGCCTTCACGGCGATGTTCTCCTGCCAGCCAGGTGCCTGTCACTGGGGCCACTAGGATCCACTTTGGGCCAACACTCCACTTCCCGCACACCAGCTCACATTCAGCTGCAAGGGTAGTTATGCTCTGGTTTAAAAAAAAAAAAAAGGAAGGAAGGAAGCAATCAGATGAGGGCGGGGGACTTGAGTTTGCACCTCGGCATGAGTCACTGAATCAAAGTCCAACAACACGCGCGTGGCGTGGGCAGGCTGCACAGGAAACCAGCAGAGATCCAGGAGGCAGAAAGTGCACAGGATCTGAGAATGAAACTCTGGTTCCAGACCCCGCTCCTGCCTCCAGCTGGGAAGTCTCTGATCCTGGTGTTCCTAAGGAAAGCTGGGGCTCTGAACTGAACGAGAACACAGGCTGTAGGAGGCAACAGTATCTGGGTGGGGAGAGGGCAGAGATGGCTACCAGGAGAAGGTACATGGGAAACAAAGCCCTGGGGTCAACTCTGTTCCCCCTTCACAAGAAGGGGGCCCCAAGCAAGCCGTCAAGTCCTTCAGACTAGGGGTCTCGGGCACCTACCTTGGTCAGGGTCAATGTGACCCTTGCACCTCCCTGCCCCACTTGGGGTAGAGGTCACGTCTCACTTCCTGTGGCAGGTGGAGTCTAAGCCCAGACCCTCCAGGTCCCAGCCTCTGTGGCTCATCTTGCAGTTACAGACAGCAGACCCAGAACTTAGTGATCATCTCCTGAATTGGGGGATATCCATCGGGGTCAGAATAAGAGGGAAGAACACAACCACCAGGCAGCAGCCCACCTCCGAGCAACCAATGATGTCTGACAGTGACTCGCCCAAGCCACGTGGTCAGCCAGCTGGGAAGGCTGGACCCAGAAGCAGGTGTCGGTGCTGAGGAAACCAGAATGGCCACGTCAGCTGGATCTGGCTGCTCGTCTTTATTTCTTCCCTGCCTGGCTCCCAAAGAGATTTGAAACCACCTACAATATTAAAACACAGAGAGAATAGGAAAATTGAGATAAAAATTAAAGTGCAATCAGAAATTATTAGGAAAAAAGAGAACATTGTGGGGCCACCACGTGTGGCATGGTGGTTGAGGCACTGGACTCCCACGTGGCCGACCGCAATTCAAATCCTGGACCTCGCAGTTTGCTTTCTCACTTTCTCTTGCTCTCTCTCGTATGTGTGCCCTGTAGCAAATAAAAATAATAATAATAATTATAAATAAAATTGAATAAATAATTACTTTTAAAAAAGAGAACATCGTACCAAAAAGTCATAGTAAAATAGTCACAGCATCAAAACAAAAGTTCTAGCTTTGAACTTTCTGGCATGGTGTATTTTCCAGTAACAACTATCATTTGTTGAGCACTCACAATATATTTGGTACATTGTACCAAAGTGTCCCAGTCCCCACAACAACTCTATGACTAGGAAAAATTATTCCCATTTTGAGATGAGGTTATAGAGATTGAGAAAGGACAACTAGATTGCCAGAGCTCACTCAGTAAGTGGCTGAGTCAGGACTGAAACCCGGGACCACAGAATTCTAGGACGTGCTCTTTTTCTTTTCTTTTTTCCCCTAATTTGCCAGAGAGCATGTGTGCTCACTGGAGAGAGACAAAGAAAGGGGGGCGGGGAAGAAAAGTCAGAAAACACCTCCCAATGCGGAATGGTCACACTGCAATCCTTTCTTCTCTATCTGCCCCACTTCTCAGGATTTTAGGCGCGCACACACACACACACCTTGAGTGTTTTCCAAGTCGCCAAGTCTGGGACTCAATCCACATGGTCAGCCATGTGGGACTCAGCCACCTTAACCACCAAGCTGGCCCCAGAACACAATCTTTATACAAGCACATCACCTCTGAGGGCCCAAAGCCCTAACAAAACATGCATGTTGTCAAGGGAAATAGTGTCCCTTGAAATTAAATTTTAGGAGAAACCTACATGCTTACATTGAGTAATAGCGGACAATATCTTCAGCTCGAGTTCTAAAGAAGATGCCAGAGTGATCTTCAGATGTCCATTAGACTTCCCCCACTAAGTAAAAACTGGGGGTATAACCTGCTACCTCAACTCAGGAAGGTGTATCTATGAAAGAAGGAGATAACATTGTCCACGAGATTTATTTTCTGATTGTCCAAGCCAACTAAGCAATGGACTTTGAGACATCTAGCCATGGGTTCCTTGGGTGATCTCTTTCAAATACTAGATGGCTGAGCCACAGTGATTTTAGGTATTGGATAGCAGCCAGTTAAAGAAGAAATTAGCCAAGAAGATTATCAAATGCCCCTGTGCTATGAGCTTAATAAAAGGTGAACCTTTTGGAAGAAAATGGAAGGACATCCTGTGCTCTTGGGTTGGAAGAATCAATATAATCTTCTGTAATGATACACAATGATTGAATGTAAAGAATAAAATTTAAATAAATAAATTTTAGAAAAGAATCCATTTCATGAAAATGTCGGTCCAACCCAAATTAATTTACATATTCAGTGTGATTCCAATCCAATTATCTGAAACATTCTTCTCAGGAATAGAAAAAACAATTACAAAACTTGTCTGTAATAAAAAAACTCTTATTGTCATAGCAATACTGTACCAAATGAAAGTAATAAAATAGGAGGCATCCCACTACTCCATTTTTTTTTTGGTAGAGGTTTTTGCCTTAGGGTGCACATACTCACTGAAGAGAGAGAGACAGTGAGAGGGAAAGTGAGAAATTAGCCCCTGGGGAGGTGGCCATGCCACAATCCCTTCTCCTCCCAGGATCTTGGGCACACATGCACACATGCCCAGAATGAGTTTCAAGTCAGTGGGTCCAGGACTCAAACTGTGGTTAGCCATGTGGGAATCTAGCGACATAACCGCTAAACCATCTGCTGGACCTCACTACTTCATTTTTAAGTATATTATAAAGCAATGATGATCAAAACAGCATGATACTGGCACACAAATAGATACATAGACCAATGGAACAGAACAGAAAATCCAGAAATAGACCCTAAGTTATATAATCAACTGATCTTTGATAAAGAAAATAAGACAATGCAGTGGAGAAAAGAAAGTCTTTTTAGCAAATGGTGTTGGAAGAATTGGATATTCACCTACAGAAAACTGAAACTGGACCTCGATCTCTCACCATTAACTAGAATTTACTCAAAATGGATCAAATATTTAAATATAAAGTCTCTAACTGTGAAACTACTAGTGGAAAATGTAGGAGAAACTTATAAAGACGAACTAGGCAAAGATTTCTCAAATAAGATCCCTAAAGCACAGGCAATGGTGCCTAAAAGAGACAAGTGGAATTACAACAAGCTAAAAAGCTTCCTCACAGCAAAAGAAACGATAACTAGAGTGAAAAGACAATCTTCAGAATGAGAGAAACATTTTGCAAATTATTCCTCAGAGAAGGGATTGATATCTAGTATAGGGAACTCAAGCAGCTCACCCATAAAAATATGAATAATCCAATTAAAAAGTGGGCCAATGAATTGAATAGACAACTTTCCAAGGAAGACTTACAAATGGCCAAGAGCCATATGAAAAAATGTTCAAAGTCTCCTGTCATAAGGGAAATGCAAATTGAAACTACAATGAGATATCATTTAACCCCAGTTAGAATGGCTAGGATCAAAAAAATTAAGAATGACAAGTGTTGGCAAGGCTGTGATAAAAAGGAAATTCTCTTATGCTGTTGGTGGGAATGTAAATTATCCCAATCTCTGTGGAAAACATTATAGAGGTTTCTTGAAAACCTACAAATAATATTTTTATATGATCCAGTAATCTCACTGCTTGGTATTTACTCAAAGGATAGGAAAATACTCAATCAGAAAGACATATGCACATTCACATTTGTTGCAGTATTTTTTACGATTGTTAAAACATGGAACCAACCTATGTGTCCAAAAACTGATGACTGGGTTGAAAAATTGTGGCACATATATACAAAGGAATATTATACAGCTCTGAAAAACAATGAGATTCTATTGTCTGACTCAAAATGGATAAATATAGAAGATTTAATGTTGAGTGAGTCAGACTGATAGATACACATTGTATATCCCCACTCAATTTGTACTGAGTGCTATGACAGAGGTTGAAAGACTTGAAAATGTGATGATGGAGAAGATGGGTGTAAATGCTAGAGACTGTAAGGGGGGACAATGGATAGTATAGAGTGGGTAGTGGAGGGTAGGTGTGAGGTAAAAGGGGAGGAAACATTTGACAGAAGGAAAATGTAAAAAGAAAAAATATATACACACACACACACACACACACACACACATATATATATATATATATTTTTTTTTTTAAGGGGGAGGTCAGCAGGTAGTGTGATGGTTGGGATGCTAGACTCCCACATGGTCAATTGCAGTTTGAGTCTCAGACCTGGTGGCTTACTTTCTACTTTCCCCCTCTCTCCCTCTGTCTCTGTCTCTCTCTGGTAAGCACATGTGTCCTGTAGCAAATTTTAAAACATAATAATAATTATAACTAAAATAAAATAATTCTTTAAAAAGTATTTCATATCCTCCCATACTTTTTGGCCACATATCACTTTGCTGACTTCTATTGAGTTGCTGCTGTTAGTTAAAATCCTTGAAAAACACACCAGGCACATGTGCACGTGTGCCCAAGATCCCAAGAGGAGAATGGAGGAGAAAAGATTTTGACAGGGCCGTCCTTCGGGAGGGGGGGGAATGATTACTCGCTTTCCCTCTATCACAGTCTTTCTCTAGCGAGCACAAGTGACTTGTAGGAAAAAAGAAATCCATAAAAGAGAAGAAAAAAGAATAGAAAAGAACCACACTGCACAGTCCCTTTATGATACCTGATTTAGGGAAACCCTCATCTCAGTTCTTCCACAGCTAAAATGATTTAGCTTCCATGATTCTGAGAAGCCAAAAGAACTAAACTTAGATGGGTATTCCTCACTTGGCCAAAAAGTAAGGTCTGCTGGGACCAGCAGTTAGCATAATGGCTATGCACTGGACTCCCATGTAGTTGACCGCAGTTTGAGTCCCAGACCTGGTGGCTTAAATTCATGCTAGACACGTGTGCATGCGTGCCCAAGATCCTGAGAGGAGAATGGAGGAGAAGGGATTGTGGCGTGGCCATCCCCCCTGGAAGGTGATTTCTCGTTTTCTATTTCTCTGTCTCTCTGTCTCTCTCTGTCTTTCTGGCAAGCGCACGTGCCCTATAGCAAAAAAATAAAAATAAAAAACCTCTCTAAAAAAGAAAGAAAGAAGAAAGAAAGAAAGAAAGAAAGAAAGAAAGAAAGAAAGAAAGAAAGAAAGAAAGAAAGAAAGAAAGAAAGAAAGAAAGAAAGAAAGAAAGAAAGAAAGGTCTGCTGAGGGCAGCCCATGGCGGAGTGGTTAAGGTGGCTGTATCTCCTGTGGCTGACTGTGCAGTTCAAGTCCCAGATCTGGTAGCTTGGAAACCACACAGTGTGCATGTGCATGAGTGCCCAGAATCCCAAAAGGAGGGAGAGATGGAAGAGAAGAGATTGCAGTGTGGTCATGCCCATGGGGTACTCTCTCCTCTTCCTCTCTCTCATGTGCACTCCGGCAAAACAAACACGCGAAAGAAAGAAAGTCTGCCAGAGGAAGCAAGCTTAGTTACATCACTGACCCCACTAGACTCTGCTTGGGAGAGACTGAAGGGAGGGCAGAGCATCCCTCTTGTAGCAGTCACTGGGCACAGCCCAGCCCCCTCTAAGTGCTGAGAGGAGAGGGGACAGCATGCCCTGTTTCCAGGTGGCATTGGCTCTGCCCAAGGCCCTTTCTAGCCCTCTGGTCCCTGCGGCGAGAGTGAGGTCTGTGCTTTCAGGAAGTGGCCCAGAGGTGTTGAGACAGTGTCAGAGTGTGTGGGCACAGACCCTCCCTATGGAGGAAGACACAGACGCCGAGAGGTGACACGTGCCAAGGAGCCCTGGAAGCTATGGATGGACCCAGGTCAGGAACCCCTGGCCCAGCTGCCTCCCTCTGTGTACAGCATCGGGGAAGGGCACTGGCCGTTCTTCTTCGCGAGTGGACCAGAGCACGGTGATGTGCAGTGCGGAAA